TGAAATTTCTGAACGATTGTTACATATCTATATCCATATATCAGAACGTCCCTATGAAAATATCTCAATGCCTGCTATATATATATATATATATATATATATATATATATATATATATATATATATATATATAATAACCAAACTTATTTAAACAAACCAATTTAAGAACTAGTATTTATTCACTCGCGCTTCTCTCTGTAATATTCCCATCACATTATAGACATTAGATTTATTTGAGTGACGCTAATATTGTCAAATATTTTAAATTCGTTTGTTATTGTATTTTCGACTGCATTAATGACGTATTCATTTGAGAGGATAATCAGTTTTATTTTTCAATTACCTTGCGTTTCGCCTCATAATTATGCACGGTGCCATATTTGATGGATATAGAATATGAAATGTCTAAATTTGCATTCACAGTGGCTAACAAAATAATGAATATTGCAAAAAATTTCAAATTTGATTTAGAAATTTCTCTGACGCGCTCTTTATCTTAACACAAAGTATTTCACGCTGAATTGAAAGCATTGACCGATTATCAATTCTTATTGTGTTGAAAGAAAAGGCTGCTAGTGGAAATTAGTCTTTTGCTTCCTCAATAACGCTTCCTAAGGAAAGTATTTATGAAAGAAAAAGGTCTGAAATTGCTAACCTGTCTTGAAATTGATTTTATGGAATATTTATTTTGAGGACGTCTTTTTTTTTTTGCATATTCTTTTATTTTGGTTAGGAAATCTTTAAGTTGAGCTATTGCAGAAAATGTTAATAACAAAAATGTAATGGCGATCAATGTAAAGATTATATGGTGTTATGGATGAGACAATGAAAATTAGGATAACATTAAGAAAATAACCAGAAGAAAAAATAGGTATATTATTTTCGTAACAGCAGTAGTTTTCTTTTAAGCGCAATGACCCTTCAGGATGTGAGCAATCATGGCTTTCCAGAAGTTCATAGCCCTTTCAGAACGAGGCAGTGTCTGTCCCCTTACTATACTCCCTGTTCATGATCTGCTATTCATTAACACGAGCTCATTAGGCTTCTCTTTCTCCCTATTGCATTCAGTATGTTCTACAAGTAACACCAACAGTAGTAGCAATGCTAATTTTGTAGTGTTGAAAAAAACAGTACAAACTAGATCATGTGTGAGATATAAATTTTTTGTTGCTTGACGAATGAAAGAAAAGAAAATTCAAGAAATTGTATTAATATATATATATATATATGTATATATATATATATATATATATATATATATATATATATGTGTGTGTGTGTGTGTGTGTGTGTGTGTGTGTGTGTGTGTGTGTGCGTGTGAATTGAATCAAATAAAGGTAAAATAGGGATCGCAAAAACGTCCCCAAATCAACATACAGACAACCAAGCAGAAATAATGTATACTAGACGCACACAAACGAATATATATTATCAACCGAATTCAAACTAGACTTATGATTCACATATCTACACATAAATTATATACACGAACGCGGCTTGACAATTCAAATGCACGTGAAGCCTGCTTAGCCAATGAAAATAACAGAAGAACGCAAAAATAAAAATATAAGAATTACTTTTTTCCATATCTGATTCTCTGATGAAAATTTAATAAAACCTAATCATATGTGTGTGTGTGTGTGTGTGTGTGTGTGTGACGTGCTTTGACCTCTCGGCCACGAAAAACCTCCTTGTCAAGCAATGCGATTTTTTTTTTAACAAATAGTGCTTTTGAACAAATAGCATACGGATAGCCCACATGTTGTATCAAAAATACTTTTACAAACTTTGGTATAGGTTTCCTGACACCAAAACAAATGCAAAAGTCCATATAATGATATGTCCGCAAATCCTTCGTTTTTGAGTTATAAAGTTTAAAAAAAACTTTGTGGTAGTTGGCGCTGTGTTGCTATGTAGACTAGGTTTCATTTGTCATTCGTGTACGTTTGTGACTAGTCTGTCTTGCTCGTTTAACATGTGTAGTAGTGAGTTAACTTGAGAAGTGTTCTGTTTAACAATGGAAGGATATTCATATCGTGAGCAGGCAGATATGATTTTTTTTACATACGGCCGCGCGAATGGTAATGACTCGAGTCTACTCGGCTGTATCAGACTTCGTTTCCAGACAGAAGACAGCAGTGTAATTCAATCTTTACTGCTGTTTATCGTCGCGTTACTGAGACAGGATCCGTGGTACCACAAACTATAACCGATATCCGCTGTTATGACTGACCACGAAGAACACATTCTACAGGCTGTTGGAAACGATTCAAGTATCAGCACATATCAAGTGACCCTAGCACGTTGCACAACTCATACTACCGCATGGAGGGTACTTCAAGAGCATCTCCCGTATCTGTATCATATGCAACATGAGCAGGGTCTTTCGTCTTCTGATCACTCACCACAGGATAACCTTTACTGATGGTTTATTGTACAAACTGCCGATCCGTTGTTTGTCTCTTCAGTCTTGATTACAGATGAGGCAACATTTGGTAGA